TTCTTGAAGAACAATAATCTATCTGGTAAATTGACAGAATCTCGAATTACAAAATCTCGAATGACAGAATCTCGAATGACAAAATCTCGAATGATTAGAATCTCGAATGATCAGAATCTCGAATGAACAGAATCTCGAATGAACAGAATCTCGAATGATTAGAATCTCGAACGATCAGAATCTCGAATTTACAAAATCTCGAATGACAAAATCTCGACTGGTCAAAATCTCGAATGAACAAATCTCGAATGCCAGGATTCCCACTGTATCCTAATCTAGATCGATCCAGCATAGATTTTTTGTATTAGATAGAAGCTAGTAGGCTGTGAGTATGCCCTGCCGAGGGAAGGTCCTTTTTGAGCACCATACTTTACAAATGATAATGAAGAACATTAGCGTTAAGTCGAAAAATTCGTTTTTTTTCGACGCAAAGGGCTCAAATTCTTGAAGTCTTAAACTTTTAGATAGTGTTGCTACAGCTATTGATTGCCAAAACCTCCATAGAAAAACTTTGGGTTCAATTACTAGGCCGCTAGTGGAAATTTTCATCCAAACTGTGCTCTCCTGGATCGAAGTTTTGTCCATTCGAGATTTTGGCCATTCGAGATTTTGTCATTCGAGATTCTGTCATTCGAGTTTTTGTAAATTCGAGATTCTGATCGTTCGAGATTCTAATCATTCGAGATTCTGTTCATTCGAGATGCTGATCGTTCGAGATTCTGGTCATTCGAGATTCTAATCATTCGAGATTTTGTCATTCGAGATTTTGTAATTCGAGATTCTGATCGGCAAGCATCTATCTCTCTCCCCTTCGAAACGCCTTCCTAACTACATACGTGCTTCCTAACAAACCGTCCCCAGCCCCCCGACAAGAACTCGAACACGTTCGCGCCCCCAATTTTTGGACACAGTCCCGGCACAAAGCAACACGCTTGTAAGTGCGTCAGCGAGTTGAAGAGGGCCCGGGGACCGAGGCGAAGCAGACCAGTGCAAAGATGAGCCGCTTAGGGGGGAGATTACAAGTGGCAAGGGCCCGTTGTGGGGGCCAAGCCTCGAATAGCTGTACAAACAGCCCTAGGGCTGGGGGGTGCGCACGAAGATGGGCTAGCAGCCCGCGAGCAAACGGATGTGACAAGATTTGCTGGCAAGAGTCTAGCCCCCCGGGCGTTCCGGGGATTCTAGATACTTATAAAAAAACATTTAACCTGCATACCAGGGTTGAAAAGCCGCTTCGCGACTTTTCAACCCTGGCCCCGTCTGACCCCATTTTATCCCTCACTTTGCATAATTGTCCTACTCGAATCACAAAAAATCGAAAACAATTTCTCCTGCCCCTTATGTAGTCCAATCCCCACTTCCGGTCTATGCTAATTATGCCTAACAAAGAGGTTTTCACAAAAACTTAAATTTAATGTCGAAAATAGGCTATTTGGTTGAATCTGATATGCGTGCAGTCATCTCCAGGCCATGACGCACCTAATGACGTATCATACATACCTTAAAATTCCTGCCCTATCGAGATATCCTCCGGACAGACAAACGGAAGGGGATGCAAAGTGGCACACACACACAAACACACAAACACTATTTTTTATATATAGTAGGATTTCAAAATTTTTGACCTTTTTCATCATTCTTCATTATTTTCATCAATTTTTGACCAAAAACTCAATATTTTTATGAGAATTGTTACGATCTCATCCAAAACGGCAAATTATAAAATACCAAGACGGTTTGAAAATCTGTAAATCTTCAATTTTTCGGCCCTTTTTCGTAAGTTTTTAGCGAGAAAATCAAAAGTTTTCATAAATTATATTCTTTGATGGTTTTTGTATGTAAAAACTGTGTAAAAAAGTGAAAAATGGTTTACATGTCGATAAGGGATTTCGATATCATACGGGACTACAGGGCGAAACCTCCTCCCCCCCCCACTAATGAGAAAGCTCCAAGTGGGAGCAAGACCAAAGAACCGACGTCTGGGGTATTTTGTTGCCCGGAAATCGGGTTCCATTTGCAACTGTGGAATGCGAAAAATGCACCTACGCACGAGTCACGGAACCGGTTCTCGATTGGCCACGAAAAAGTACACCCATCGGCGCGGTTTCGAACCCAATTTGCGGTTGTTTCATAATTGAAAACCGGGAGATAACCGTATAAATATGGGGTCCCGTGTGCAGTTCTCCACACCACAGCCCCGCCAAAAACAAGTGTGACAACCGGCCAAGGTGCAAAACAACCCAACAAAAACATGGCCGGTACCCTCAGGATCGATGGAGGGGAGGGGGATATATAGTGACGATGGGGTGCTTTTGGAACAAGTTGTGGGTCGAAGCAGCTGAAAACTGCTTAGCGACTAGTCGACGGGATTTCTCGTAAAATTTGCCTGCGGCGTTCGGGTTGCTGGGCAGGCTCGGACGTAAAAAAGTGACGATTTATGTACATGGAAATGAACGAATTGGCATCTCTTTGAAAATCCAAAAAATACTAAAGTTGTAGGAAACTATTGTGCTTCTCACTTAGCTGGGGAGGAGCATTTTTCATATTAATCCCGTAGGGCCCTTCCGATCGAAATGTAAACCATTTTATAGCATTCTACACCGTTTTTCGGTATTTCAAAGTCTTTAAAAGTTAACAGTCGAAAATTTTGGTTATTTGTCAAAAATGTATGTGAAAAATCACCGAAAAGCTCAGAATCTGACTATTTTTTTAAATTGTTTTGAATCATTTCATGGACAGCACAAATATATACTTTATAAACAGGTAGTTGATAGATGGAAAAATAAAAGTTACGCCCCCCTCTAAGAGTCAGAGTAAGATTAAAAACCATTCAAAAATGGCTACAAAAGAGGAGCGAGTTTTCAGATCGAAATAAAAGCAAAAAGCGCAGGTCACGCCGCAAAACGTTGTGGTGTGTGGCTGTGTTGCGTGGGGGGAGCACGGGGCCCAGAGCTCGCGTGTGTGTGCCAAGCTGGTCACGTGAGCGTGGGGAAATGGCTGGCCTGAACGGGCGAACACCTCGGTGCACAAAGCGGCGAGAGAGACGAGAGAGAGAGAGACACGGCCACTCTCTCCCTCTCTCTGCTGTATGATCTAGGTCTATTTTTGCCATAATAGCAACGACTTTCATCTGAAAAGTCGCTGCGCGTTTTCGAAAATGAGCCCTAAACTGTTTTCCTTATGTTTTAAACACGTTAAAATAGTTAAAAAACTTTAGTTTCGTAAAAATCTGCTAATCTACGCCCTCGAATACACCTAAAAATAAAAAAGTATACATTATCATCAGTACATCCCCATTTCCGGTACCTCAGCCTGGCCCATCGGCAAATCAAAACAACGCGGGGCAGCAAGTGATCGAATAAATGGCCTGTAAAGTGGATGGCGGGGCCAGCGAGCGCGGCCCCGGAGAGTGTCAGTTGGCAGCCATTTGCCAGAAAAATCGCCTGTGGGATCCCCGGCGGGGAATCCGGGGCGGGTGGAGCTCGACCCGGGATTCAAGGTGACGCACCGAGGAAGAACGTGAGCGAGCCTCAGGCTAGTCTCACTCAGGCTCGCTCGAACAGGGTCATGACGGCATTCCAAGCCGTCGGAATGTCGCCCTCCCAGCGGTCAAGGCACCCGAGGTGTCGCTACAATTGCGGCGTGAAACTATGGGCTCTAATATTAGCGTTAATTTTCGGTGGTTGAGGTTCCGTCCCCCATCTCTTGTAACTCGGCTCCCAGTTCTGTTACAGGGACGTAAAGGATGCTAAAAGACTCGCCAGATCGAGGCGAACATTTTGGTATACTTTTCAACCCTGTAGACAAACGAGAAGCCGAGATACAAAACCTGATCCATAACCTACTAATTTTAAGCGAGAAATCACTTGCAAAAACGGATTTAAGAGACCTAATCAGGCTTAAAACAATTTTAAGGGCCATAAGTGTCGATCCCAAAGCAGCACTGGCTAATGCAATTTGAAGCTTTCAATAACCCCCGAGAATGAACCCATTTTTGATTTTTGAGTCGAGCGTTCGAGCGGCCAAAAACGGCAATGACCAAAGAATGATCGCGAAAGAATTTTACCGAGGACAGGAATTCGAGTAATGTTTCAGATGTGCGCCGAAGGGGGGCGGGGGGGCTTTCTTGTCAGCGATCGTTTGGGGCTGTTAAAATTGAGACGCGCCAAGGCTAAATTCCCGGGGCCGGACAGGGGCTGCGGCTTAATCTGCTGTCCGAAGTTGGTTGAGGGATGAAAGAGTTGTTGATTTTTGCACAGCAATAGCCTTTTTCGCAAGATTACACAACGCAGGGCTGTGCTGTTGATGTACTCTTGCGAAAAAAATACCGTAAAATGATGTAATTGAAAGGGAGGCCCGCTTTCTCGACCGTGAGGATACATTGGAAGAATATGCAAGAAAACTGTGGAAAGAGGACTCACAAGTGAGCATGAGGACTGTTAGAAGAAACCCGAAATGATCAGCGGTGTACGACTTCAGATTAGCAAAATACGCGCGCGTACATCACACCAGCGGCGGCGCGCCAAAAGCCGTCGCGATCAAGGGGGAGGTAAGGGGGGATGATCAGAGCAATTAGACCAATCAATGTGGGCGAGCTGGTGGTCGAGCGGGACAAGTGCGCGCACACACACGGCTGGCGGGAAGGGAACGCGGGTGGGGGAAGGCCGTGCCTGTCTGGCCCCTCCCTGGCTCGCCGCCAAACCGACCCTCTCGTCGTCTACTCTCTCCCGCGGAAGCCTGCTATTTCTCAGGCTAACAGCCGTCTCGGCACACAGCCCGCTGGCCATGTGCCAGGCTGACGTCATCGCACCCCTTTTCATCTCTGCTGGCCCCCGCAAAACAGAAGCCGTCTTCAAAGTCGCAACTAACCTGCATCCCAACAAACATGATTCACGTCTATTTACAAAACATTTATTTTCCAAAAGCCAGAAAAAGTACAAATTTTAATAGCCAATAACCATAATTTATGAGGATCGTGTGTACTGCCCGCACACCGCCATTTAGTAGTATCGCCGTTTGTCCCTAAGAAAATCATTTTATATCAAAGGCATGTATACTTACGAGAAGGCTGGGTTACTGGCAGTAGAACGTCCGAAATCAAAGGCCGACTGGGAGTATGTCGAATAGCTAGAGAGCGATAAATTCGGAGGAAAGAAAGTCAAACCTCGAGCCGCCGATATCACCATAGGTTGCGAAGGCTGAACGGGTGGTGGGCTCGAAGGCGCTGCGTGAGTAGGGCTCACGATGGCGCTCCGTACTAAATATAGGCAAGGCACCAGGACGTTTTTCGGAAAAAGAAAGTTTTGCCGCGGCCGGGGCGAACCCGGGCCACCCGCTCGGGAGGCGGGCATACCAGCAGCCACGACAACCGCGAGGCCGAGGGGCCCCACCCCGCAAGAGCGGATGCCGTCACAGCACGGGCAGGCGGGCGGTCCCACGTCCATAGGGTGTACACGTTAGAAGTACACGGCCCTCCTGAAGGCTTTAACACTTAAAAAGTTCTCAATATTTCTAAAAAAAACCCCGGTAAGATTCGATTCCGCCGGCGGAAATTTTACTTGAGCTTTTGCCATAACTATTTTATCTAACGTTTTTCGGCTGAAATTAAATGGTTTTTGGACGCAGTATCGAATTGCACTCACAGAATGAGCCAAAGGAAATCAAGATAGCCCAAAACTAGCCTGCCTACACCACTTTCAAACGTGAATTTTGTGCTAACCATTTTGCATCAAATTATGCAGCTCCGCCAGCCCCCACCCCCTCAAAAAAACTACCTTCTGTAAGGGTCCTCGCGACGGGTGTATGATGAAGTGGTCTCGTAGGTACGCCTGAAAATTGATGAAAGCCAAAAATACTTGTCTTACGGGATAGGTGCCCTAGCCACAGGTCTGGAATTGGCAAGCGGGGCACCACGGCCGCGAGCACGTCCTCGGAAGGTACTGAACAGGATTTAGTTTTCTAAGCATTTCTAACCCTCTTGTTCCGCGAGGGGCAGCTCCACGAGGTGAGCGGGTCGTATTCTCCCAGCGAGCGCGCTTGTCATTCGGATGGTCGTCAGCCTGCCAAAAAAGTCCCTAAAAAATCAAAGCTTTCTTACCCTCCGTTTAATCGAGCGCTTCTCGCGTTCCTTGCGCTCCTCCTCGTTGCGCTTTGTCATCTTGGCCTGGTAGACGGCCGTCTCGGCTGCCTTGTCAAAGACGGACAGGTAGTTCTTGTTCACTTCGACTAAAGCAGATTTGAAAGAGCCGGATTCCCGCACATACTGCTCATCAAAAATATTTGACACTTGGTGTCGTCGATCGAGAGGAAGTGCTGATTCTGATGAGCGTCCATAGCATCAGTGGTAGTCGCGAAAGTGACAAGGGCGACGTTCTGTCTAAAGGAGGGGATTATTGTAGAAATTATACTAATAAGCCTTGGAAAAGATAATCTAAAAAGACTTACCCTCGTCCATCTTTGACAGCTTCTGCAGACTCCACGTTGAAATCCGAAAACCATTCCTTAGCTTTCTCCAATGTGAGCTCGAATGTTTCTGGCAGCACCTGAGGAATGCAATTATAACAGTAGGTAAGCCACTACCTTCACGACCAACTGCCTCATCGACAAAGTCTCCTCAATCACCCGTCCAAGTCGCTTTTCGAAATCATCCTTGGACTTTAGCGTTGTCTCGTCTAAAGAATGGATAACGGCAAACGCCAAAATCCTTACGTTGTGGGAGATAGATTTTTATCCTCCTCTTGTGCGGGCTGCGGATATAGATAAGACTGCGCATCGCGGACGGCATGACGAGATGATCCCGAGAGAAGGTGATCGTCACTTTTCTAAATGCATAGATTAAGCAAACATCTTTGGTTTGATACCCTTTATGTGCCTTGGTTCCATCAAAGCTGTAACGTTGCGGAACCTCGACATCAACGGATTCGGCCTTGGCAATGGCTCGGTAGAGGAAAGGATCGCGCAAATCAGTGAGATGTATGTTCTCCAAAATCACTTTCCGATGATCATTCTTTCCGGCACAAACTATAAAAAGAGGTTAACAAAGTAAAAAAACACGCACTTTTCCACTGAAACTCCGGCGCACCATCCCAATTTGTGGTATAGGCCACGTCATCGTCGTTGTCCTCCTCATAGCGTTTGACGAAGGCCTCACGTTCTTCCTTTAGTCGTTGCTTCTCAGCCTCCGGGTCGGGTTTCGCTTTATCTAGAAAGAGATTATTATGTTGAAACGATGTCTTGCAGTAGGGGACAGGGTGTGGAGAGGAAATCTTTGGTCACTCGAATTCGAGCAAGAAATTGTGACGCGCTGTGAGCTCGCGTTGGCCGAGTAAAATCAGTCTCGCTCGCAAATCGGCGACGATGCATGAAATTGCACTGATTCCCGGGAAGGAATGAAGTCCCTGAGGGCCCTTTCTGCAATTCAAAGCAGCGTATAAGGCAACTTCGCAAGCGCATTAACTCTTTCTCCGCTTCGAGAGTCAGTCTAGGACACCGGTTCGGTGGGACAATTTCGATGAACACGTGAATTCATCTGTATGTTTTCTGCCTCGGCGTCCCCGCCCCCAACTATTCCCCTGAAGAGAGACAACGCCTGCAGAAATCAATTGCTCCAAAAATCACTCCGAGGCCGATAATCTCTTTTTCATAATAACCGTGCCACCAGCCAGCGCTCCTCCAATGCTACCTTTGTTGCCTTTCTTGTCTTCCTTATTGGACTTGTTCTCGCCGCCATCTTCATCGGCGCCTCCAACTTCGTCAGCCAGCGTGAGGAGGTCGGCGTCGAACCAGTCCTGTGGAATTTCGTCCACCGATGATAGGCTGAGTGCCGACTTTTCTTCGGCCACTTTCTTCTGTGCGATCATGCGATGCTTGTGCACCTTCGTCTTGAATGAAATCAGCGCGCAAAGAGCATTTTCCTGAAATGAGAGACGTTGATGGAAAACGATGCCGTTGGAAAAGTAAATTTCGATTTTCACGCTTTTCTGCTATGAAAATCAGAATTCCTGTTCGTAGAAGGCCCGCGAGCCTTGGTAGAGCAGCTCAGCTGTTTTATTCCGACAAACGATAGCCCCCAAATAGGCGCAAAATCGGCAATTAGCTGCTGCTTTTCTTCATCTTCGCATACCGCCAGTTGAGTGTATTTCGCAACCCTCGAAACTAAATACAAACATACCTGATCAGAGGCATCCTTTTTCAACTTTGGCACACGGATGACTGCATCGATATTGTCGCGGGACACCTAAAAACCGATACAAACGCAGCCACAACACAAAACCTTGAAATCCGAAGAGAGCATCTCAAGAAGGGCTTCATTGAAAACCGCGTAGTCGTCGCCCATGAAATCGCTGGGCAGGTTGGAAACGAGAACGGCACTAAAACCATAACATAGCCTGAAATCCCGATTTACCGGGACAAATCGAGCTTTTTCGGGTCACCGCCATGACGCTCGAAAAATTCCTCCTGTGTAATGCAGGGGACATCATCTCCGTGGTCGTTCTCGTCAAGCACTTCGTCGTCATCAAGCAAGGACTCCTAAAAATGGCGAGGTGTTCAAAAACGCGTTTTGAAAGACTGACCTCCTTGATCTCGTCATCGGGAGTCAGGGAAATGTCGCCGTTTTCACTACCGGTCATGTTCCCGTAGCAGTTGGACTGTTGGTAGCACGTCGGTCTGGAAAGAAGGGTTTTCTGAGGCACGAAATCGAAGTCTGTAGAAATGGAGAAGGGCAAAATTTCAGGGGCGCGGAGGCGGTTATTTGCTCCAAACAGTTCGAGCCCAGTTTGTCTCAAAAACATGGTTGAATTGATCAGCGGTAAAGCAAGTCCTGGGTCTGAATTACTAGAGATTCAGAAAAGCTACTTCTAATGCCAACTGAAGCTTGTTTTCGGGATGTAAGGGCCGCCGAGCAAAGTGGTGTTACTATGTGAGATCGATAGAAATGGCCGGGACGCATCGAAGGCGGAGCTCTGGGGGCTGGATGGGGTGTCAAATAGCCGGGACAGACACGGAGAGTGGGGGAGGATTCAAAAACCCCCCGATGATTCGTTGTTTTTCCAAAAGCCTCGATCAATTGTCTAAACAATATTGATAATGTTATTTATTAAAAAATGAGGTCTGATCCTTACAAAACAGAGTCCTCGGAAACAAAATATTTGGAAGGCAAAAAGACGTTCCAAACTTTACAAATTACAAATTAGTTCGGTTTGTCGGTTGTAGTGTCCTTGTCACAAGCTTTTCTGGCTTTCGGCTTCATCTAACCGGAAAACCAGCCAAAAAACGGCTGTTTTTTTGTATTCAACCACGAATTCCTATCCTATAGCCTTTTTCCTGTCTTATCGGCCTTCTCGAAAATGATAATAAGCCAGAATAAAGGTCGTTCCCAATATTCTACCGCGAATCCCTATCGTGTAGCCGTTTAAAATTTCTGGGCAACCCATAAACTAGCGCGGATTTCCACAACGGCGGATGGGGCACAGGTCGCGCAATAGCAAGCAACCGTTCAAAAACCGAATTCCATGTCGTAATCAGGGTTTTCTTTTCGTAAAACTCAAAGGAATGTTTACAAATGAAATATTTATCGAAACGGAACAACAAAAACAACAAATATTTTATATAGAAACGAACAATAGCAACTTTTTCAACCATTTTCAACAAGATTAACCTCGGCGTCTTCTTTCTTCTTCATAGCTCATTATCCGTTCTGTAGATTTATTACTTAGAGCACGTTTGAAAAGCCAGAAACTCTAATGCCTAATGCTCACTTTAGATGTCTCGAAAGCAGCTGGCTTGTACATCACTTGCTTGTGACTATACTTCCTTATTATACAACTTTGCGGAGGCATGCTTACCAGCACGACGGATTATATATGCCGGAAACGGAGAAGATGCAAGTGGATGGATTTGCCTGCAATATGTCCTAATCAATACTACACTCTGAAAAGCCTGCATGAGCATGAGAGGAAGAAGCATGCTGAGACGTCGAGCCATTTAGCCCTTGATTATGCGTTCGGAATGTTACGCTGGTTTCTATACGACCAAAGGCTATTTGAGCACTTTTGATTACAGTAAACGAAGTAAAAAGTTTAAATCGTTATCTTATTCAGTTATAAACATCAATGCTTATTAATGCTTAGGCTTAGGCAATACTCGATACTTATTAATGCTCCTCAGGCAACACCGACAAGTTCCAGGCTCTAAACGAATATCTTTCAAACCAGATAAAAGAATTTCTGACTGAAGAGAAGCACGAAAAGCTCGCAAAAATTGCCAAGCCCAAAAATACCCCAATCATAGAAGCTTCTGAAAATTATAGACTCGAAAGTAAAAAGACACGAAATGCTTTGCTGGCGCAGGCACGAACACAGAAGAAAGTCGCGGAGGTGAATCCCGTTGAAAATGGATGAAAAAGTTGTTATTGTTCGTTTCTACAATATTTGTTGTTTTTGTTGTTCCGTTTCCATAAATATTTCATTTGTAAACATTCCTTTGAGTTTTACGAAAAGAAAACCCTGAATTACGACATGGAATTCGATTTTGAACGGTTGCTTGCTATTGCGCGACCTGTGCCACATCCGCCGTTGTGGAAATCCGCGCTAGTACCCATAAACCGCTGGTGTAACCCATACGTTACGCACCAGTTTACAGACCAACACCACCTTGTTTTACAAACTGCGTGGCACCTCTAGCTAAAAGTAAGCCTGGAACCCTATTTCCATCATGTCAGATGCCCTTTTCCCTAACCATAGGCACAGATTAATCAGAAGGCATTGCGACAACCCTTATCAGCGCACGCCTGTCTAGCCCCTCGTGGGCCATGATCGCAATGTGTTGCCCCTTATATATGGAAAATAAGGCCCCACGCACTTCTGCGAGTATAGCGACGCCTACTGACCTGCCTGATGAAGCATGTCATCGATAAAACAATCGCCAGGCTCATACGGACGGGTTCGCTGTTTACCGTTTCCCGCCTGAATTCTGGTGGCAACCGCGCTGCCCCGGTGCTAGATAACTATTATCAGTCGGCTCGCCTCAGCACTTGCTTTTTCCAGAATTTGACCCTTGTGTCACGGTATTCATTGATTTAACGGCTCAAGTTGTTCACGCTCTAGAAAAAGCTCTTGGGCTCGTGGTTCAGACATTCTACGGCTTTTCGTAAACTAACGTTACTGCCCGTGTTTCAGAGTCCACTTCTCTCCGCGAAAAGCAGGCGAGGGCGCCGGCGCGGTCCAATGTCGTCCTACGGAGCGATCGGCGCGGAAAACGATGAGTGAGCTGGTCTCGAAAGCTAAAATTTGTTTTTCTAGAGTCGATGCGTTCTTATCAGACGACCGTCCCGGGATAAGAAGGGTCGCCTCATCTTCACGCATCCGGACAACAAGTTTGCACTTTTTCCATTCCTGCAATGTCTGGTCTAGGCGAATCTTCAAGGGCGAGATCCGACAGTCGTACCGATAGACGCCCATACCTATACACTGGTATGTTTGTATACATTTCGCTTATTTTGTGCATCTAGGAGGCTTGGGCTTGTCGCGAGATGGTAGTACCCAGTCGCTAACCACCGATGAAGAACATCGAGACCATGCTATGGCAATTAGATACCGCTTGTTCAATCGATTGGACCCCGGTGGCGAAACTCTTGTAAGTACAAGCTAACGTTTTCTTTACCTTAAAAAATTTAGCGTATGCCTGATCACGTGGTTCCCCCGGACCTATTTTCCGTACTTCCCTTTGATGATTTCAAAGATGCGTCCGGAAAGCAGAGCAGCTTTGTTACCATGTACGTAACCTCTCCAATAATTATTCATTTATGTTTTAGATTTTCTATTTGGAATACGATGATGGGCACCTCCTTGCTCGCCATGCCATGGGCTATGCAGCAAGCCGGCTTTGGCCTGGGTATCTTCTTAATTATTGCTGTCGCTGGGATTTCGCTCTACACCGCCTATCGAGTTGTTCAGAGTCCACAAAATTTGCGTAGGTTGTTTACAGACTTTCTCCCAAGCTTTGAAAATCTCTACATAGGCTCATTTTTATTTTTAGCATTGGGTGTCGATCCGTCGTTAGCGGAATTCAGCGATGTCTGTAAATATTTGTTCGGCAAGCCCGGTGAAATTGTTGCAGTGGTGAGTGTGATTTTTATCTCTGAACTATTTTTCAAATTTAGCTCTTTTCCATTGCGGTGCTGCTTGGTGGTGTGATGGTTTATTGGGTGTTGATGAGCAACTTCCTCTTCTATACAGGAAACGTTGTTTACGGTATTTTTGCGACCTTACTGTCAATCTTTGGTTTTAGAAGCGCTGCAGCCAAACAGTTCAACTATTCCGATCATGGAGAATAAGACCTGGACTTGCGATGGTAAAATTGCCCATTCTGATTTTTACCTCTTGTTCAGTGTACTGCCCGGAACAGTTCAATCAAGCCCTATGGCCCGAGAAATTCAACGAGTTCTTTGCCGAGGACAGCCCTGGCCCCTGGTCGTTTGATAAGCTATGGCAACTTCAGGTAAATTTCGGTTTCAGAAAACGGCAACCAATGTTAGGGAACGGTCCCGATCTACCTGGCTGTGTTCACCTTCCCATTGATGAATTTCAAGTCGCCGACGTTTTTCACGAAATTCAACGTTTTGGGTACGTCATAATTGTGCTTTTATGATTTCCTTAGGTACCATTTCTGTGCTATATCTGATCGTATTCACCACATCCAAGCTGGTCGAGTGCGGATTTAACATCAGCTTTGATCCGGCCAGCAAGAACTATGCGCAGAGTCAGTTTTTTTAATACTAAAATTTAGTCTACCATTTTAGTCGCCAACTGGAGATTTCCGGCTCTCACAGGCACGCTGACATTGTCATACTTCATCCACAATGCTGTTCTTACGATCCTGAGAAGCCAGAAAAAGCCCGAAAATAACGTAATTTGCGAGTATGAATCACTATACTATTCTTTATAGGCGCGAGACCTGTCCATCGGCTTTTTCCTGGCTTGCTTCTGCTACGTTTCAATCGGATTCATGTTCTATGCAGCTTTCCCCGTTCAACGGAGCTGTATTTCCGATGTAAGCCCACGATCCTAGATCAACAGCCGTTTTTTTAGAATTTTCTGAACAATTTTGGGAGCGGTGATGTATTGAGCTCGACAGCCCGACTTTTTCTGCTGTTTCAGGTTCGTTCCTTCAGGACCAGGGTTAAACCGCTTCGCGGCTTTTAACCCTGGCCCCCCAGGACCGGAAAGTCCTAATTTGCATGTTTCTTCCTGAATTCTAGCAAGAAAAAGTGAAAACGGCCCCTGTCCCTTTATATAGGCTCTTCCTACTTCCGGGATGCTAATTCCCTAACAAACAGGGTTTACAAAAACCTATTTTTAATAGCGAAAACCACAATTTTCAAATTTTATGTGTGAGTCGATTCCGGACCATTCTAAACCATTGTCGTTTCTTCCCTATCCGAAAACCCTTTCCCGAGGCGTAGGAGCAAACCAAGATATGAATATAACACACACACACACAAACACTATTTTTTTATTTTTCCTTCAGGATTCCATGGCTTTTTAGATGATAACTGTGCTCCCACTTCTAATGTTCTTGGTCCGCTCACAAATTTCTTATTATGTTTATGGCAAAACGTGGCCTAGGTATTATTGCATGTTTCTTCGCCTTATTGCCATATATTTTAGCTTCACTGTGGTGCTTGTCTTGAATGTCACGATCATCACGATTGCTGTATTGGTTGCGATGTTCTATCCTCACGTCGGAAGCTTATTGAGGTAAGTTTTAGCTAGAAATCGTCTTGGCAGAAATTTTTATGGGAGAGTTTTAAATGAATTTTCCAGATACGTCGGTGCCGTTTCTGGATTGGTGTATGTATTTGCCCTGCCATGCTTGGTGTATTTACGACGTTGCAAACTCCTGACCGGCCAAGTTTCGAAGACGCAAACCTACGTCCATTACGGCATTATTGCTCTCGGTGCCGCCAATTTAGTGGCTCAGTTTGTCATCTAATTTCCCCTCTCTTACCAATCTCCCCCACACTAACCCACTAACCGCTCATCTGTGATCCTGCCAGGGTTTTCATTTCAATTACGTAACCATTCCAAATGTTATTACAAAGTTCTGGCGTCCCAGCCATATTTTGCCATAATGATGGTGCAATTGCTCTTGCAGCGTGCTGTAAGCTCTTAAAAATTTATCTGTGATCTTTAGCCATCGTGTCGTATCGAATTAGTGCCTTTGATATTATAACTGATCGGGTAACATATTTCGCACCTTGTCATTTTGATATGTGACATAAATAGTACTATGCACTAATTTGGCGTGGTATCGGAAAGAGTTATTGCTACGAGTTATCGCAGGAGAGAACCCAGTCTTGGTTATCCAAACGTGAAATTCAGGTAATGGGACCGGGCCGGCTCGTGAAGTTGTGCCGGAGGGGCGCTTCTTCTTACGTGGAAAGCGTACGCCTGCTCGATCACTGGCAATTGCATGATGATGCGTTATCTGGGTTCGTTTCACATTCGCCTATCAACTGTTTTAGTGAATTTCCACGTGGTGCCTTCGTTCTGATGGTGGACAAAAGACCTTTGGTCAAGAAAACGGGTTCCGACGTGCAGCTGGTCATGCATTCGTTCCGAGGTTCGATCATGCGTTAGTCATATTGATTTTTAGACCTCCGAAACAACCTTTCGAAGTATGGGCTGAACTTTTCGATTGAAAATTCTTGTTTGGTCGATACGGTACAGCCGTTGAATCTTGACGAAAACTCTGGTTTACAGGTTAGCATTGCCTTTGTTTTTAAGTTACTTGCCAGGTGGCCTTGTTCGGCACATCCCTCGAAACGGTCACGCCGCCCGAAGATTTGCCGGTGCCACCGGATGAGGTAAGTTCTGCATATGACTTCATTTTATTTAGCTTAGAAATGCGCTAGCGAGCGCTCTTGGCGGACGGTTTTTTGATCTGCGCATGGCCATGCTGACGATGACAAGCGAGAAACAAAGGAATTGGCTAGCAAAGGTGTGTCGTTTTTGTGTTGCTAAGAAGTTGTTTTTCAGATGCACACCCTGTCGCAATTCAATCTGACCTATAAGCGCTGTCCGAAGTGTTGCACCAATCTGAAGAAGCGGATTAGGTAGCGTGATATTTTGTCGCTCTAAAATAAGTTTTAGCAAGTCGGCCGCTGAATGCACGTATTGCAGGAAGGTCTATTATCCAGCGGTACGTTAGGCTTTGTTTATTTGCGAATTTGCGAATGACGATGGTTAGAGGAAGTCTGATATCCGAGTTTCAGTATTCTCCCGTTTCAATCTGCCTGGTTTCGGACCCTTCTAACGAGCATGCGTTGTTGGTTCGACATCGTGGTTCGGCCAATGGTGTCTACACTTGCGTGGCAGGATTCGCGACGGTATTTCTTTGCCTATAAAAATAATCCTTTTTCAGACAGGCGAACCCTTGCACGAGACTTGTCGCAGGGAGATCGCTGAAGAGGTTTCTTGCTGTTTTCGTAGCTTGGATGGTTTTTTTCTAGGTCGGACTTGAGGCGACGGATATAAAGCAGTTGGGACTTTCACAACCATGGCCAATGCCTGATAGCTCGCTCATGATCGGCTTCCGAGCCACCGCTGATAGATCAGAAAAGGTAAGTAGGACCGCTTTTTCAAAATATTCAGATCTCGATTTTCGCGGCCTATAATCAGTATTTTTCAGATTACGGTAGCTTTGGATGAGCTCGAATCAGCGGAATGGTACACGCGAGATGAGATCATGCAGGCATACCAGCGAACCATCGAAGACCCATTCCTGAAGGTAAAATTTTCATCGGCTTCCGGAATCAATGTCTTTTCAGGGCTTGACCAAAGATCCAGACAGCCGCCAGATTTTACGATATATCCCCCCAGCCGGGGCCATTGCACACACACTGATCAAAAAGTGGTTATTCAAGGAAATTTGAAAAGTTGTGATGTCGTGAATTGTGTGATTTAGTGTTTTAATAAAATCAGATGCTAAAACCAAGCATTCCATGCTGAGCTTGGGTAGTCATCCCCTTTATCTCGATGTTCATTCAATCGAACATAAAAAGACGTAGAAACCGCTTTATTAGAAATGGAAGTTATCAACAAGATGGTTACTCTACTACCCAATGTCGAAGTGCTAAAGGTATGAATAACGCACGGTGTACAAACTGTCATTTTAGATCATCAACGAAACGCGCGCACGGGAGACGAAGAAAAAGAAGCACGACCAAGATTCCAAGCTAAGCACCCTACTATTCGAGGTAAATTTTGGTTCCTCAACTCACCTTTTCATTCAGACGAGCAGTTATCTCAACCAAACCCCAGTGGCCTCGCAAAACGAAGAACATTTTTGCAAGCTGGTAGAAGCACTGAAACCGGTTAAGGTAACTTGATGGTGCTGATGTTTTATCACAACTATTTTTTAGCTGACACAGGCTGAAATCCTGCAGGTCGCAAATCTTCGACCGTCGAGTAGTATCGAGCTTCAGTTGATTATCGAGGATTGTGAAGAACGGATCAAGACAGAAGAGCAGCTGGAGGTGTTGGTCGGGGTACTGATGTTTTCTACGGTTTCGATTTATTATTTAGAAAATCACTGCAGTGTTACCACCGTTGGCGCCAAAATCTGTGGACCAGGGCAAAACAACCAACGGATCGCAAGCGAGCTAACACCGAATATGATCGGGCTTATTTCGTTTTCGTTTTTGCGTGATTCAATGTTTTTTGTTGAGTTTGTTTTGTATTTTTACGATAAAGCTGTACGGGTTCATTCCTTGTAGACGAATTTCGGTTCGCTCCATGTATATTTCCGGAACTTTCCCGATGGTTTTAATAAAGTGCCTTCAGGATGGTTGTCGAAGTTACGGCTGCCCTCTCCGGGCTCGATTGCATCACAGAAATGAGCGAAACTTGGAACGGATTCGGCGCCGGACAGCCGTGCGTATTAGGTAAAGTGCAACGCCATCGTTGGAACTGTCATTTAGGAATCGATGAAGCTGGAAGAGGTCCAGTACTCGGCCCCATGGTCTATGGTTGCGCAATTTCCCCAGTAGATAAAGATGCTGAACTCCGGAGTTTAGGTATGCGAGGGAAACGACGTTCTTGTAAACTCGTTTAGGTGTCGATGATTCGAAGGCACTTACCGAAGCCAAACGAGAGGAGATATTTGACGATATGAACGATAGCGGTGAAACGAAACAAGTGTGTCCCAGCGTCCTATTTTTGACCACTTTGCAGGTCGTTGCGTGGGCAATACAGTGTCTTTCCGCCCAGTACATCAGCTCGTCGATGTTGAAGCGCAACAAGATCTCGTTAAACGAAATTTCTCACAACTCTGCCATACAATTGATCCGGGATGCCTTAGCGGCCAACGTGAATGTCGTCGAAGTAAGTATTTAGTCGATGTCGCAAGCGTTGCGTTTAGATTTTTGTAGACACCGTCGGGCCGAAGGCTACCTACCAAGCCAAGCTGGAACGCATCTTCCCGGGAATCTCGATCACTGTTTCGGAAAAGGCTGATTCAAAATACCCAATTGTATCCGCTGCATCGATTGCTGCCAAGGTTTGAGTTTGTCCGGAATCATTTAAAAAAGAGAATAGGTGACCCGTGATCGCCGTCTCAGAGCCTGGGAGTTTCGTGAGACTGGCGTCAACGTCCCTGAAGCCGGATTCGGCAGTGGTTACCCTGGAGGTGATTTTTTCTCTTCGTTATGAGAGCCTTAGACCCGAACACGAAGAAATTTCTGGCTGGCGGTGTCGACCCGATTTTCGGTTTCTCTTCGTTGATCCGATTCAGCTGGAAAACGGCCGACTTGATCGTGGAGAAGCGATGCGCCAAGGCCGCGTGGTAATTTTTGACGCATTCGGGATTTTAGCACGCATTTTTTAGGGATGATGAAGATGCGGCGCAGTCATCGTTGAAGGGCTTCCTGTCAAGCAAGGGAGCGCTACCGACTAACCGTCACCAGTTTTTCCAAGACCGTCAGCTGCGATATACCTCTAACTTTTAATTTGATCGCTATGGTGTTGTATATAACTTTGTGTTTCCATTCTCATTCCGTTAAACTACAGGTCCTAATGCTGGTATTTTCTCACTTTTTGATCTCCTCTTCTCACTATTCTCGAACGACCAATAAATATACAAGTCGCTGTTTGCTAAGAAAAAAATAGTGCTTATGCACACTATCAATGCCTTCACCACTATATGACTAACTGTACAATAATTGTTTTTCAGATGTTAAAATTAAACCTAACAAATGTAGTGACGGCGGCATTTCTAATCTACATTGGAAATTCTATCTACCATTTTTATCAAATTTTCGTGCCAGAACTTTGCGATTTGACACAAGATACGGGAAACTGCTTAGAGGTATAAGTTCATCTGAAAAATTGAATGCTTTTAGCCCTTTTCAATAAAAGATAACGTGGTGCGGTTACGAGTTTACACCTCCCTGACCTCCAGACCCATCCCGCTGGGGACTTTGGTTTATGAGGAACCAGCTTTGAGAATCGATGAAGCACTAGAAAAGAAGGTTCGTGTCGGTTTTTCATCATAACTTTTTTCATCTTCAGATAAACATAAGTCTTCCTGGCCCCACCCTGAATAATGGCACTCTCTTCGTCCATGCTATCCTTTTACCATCCGACTTCGAAGGCGTAAATGTAAATGCGGTAATTCACCCGTTTTTTCTTTACTTGGTGATTAGGCTCGTTGGCGCGTGATACAGAGCGGGTTGATTACAACGTACGCTGAGCCGATCCCGAAGACATTCAACCTGATGGGCGGAAACGACGAGGTGTCCGGAACAACTAAGGCTAAGAAGGCAGTCAAGGTTTGGGTATCCTTTGCTATGAACCCGTCAATTTAGCCCATTGCTCATCTTCGGTCTTCCATACCTCTGGTAGGGCTGACTGGTTCGCCGATCTTCAAAGCCCGCGCGATCCCACATGAAGTCTATAGGTAGGTTTTATGCGATGTTTGAATTCTGTGCAAGGCTTTGGAAACAACTCATTTAGGCTGCTAGAGACTGATGAGATCGATGGGCGTCTGGTGTATTATCCTCTCCTCTATTTGAACTCTCTGTCCTTCGGCTCGAAGAATATACTTGAGGTTTTTCCGCTTAAATGTTTATGATCTAGAAATCGATTAGATCACTCCGACGCAAAAAGAATACGAAATTACCGTTGACTATCGCCCGGCTGGGGTCGGAAAGCTTCGACTAATGGTCACGGCCACGATGTCGATGATGCAGCTGAAAAGTATGGGCTTCAACGAAAAGGATTTGGACGATGTATGTTTCCCCCCTTTTTATCACTTACCACTTTTCAGGTAAGAGGCCTCTTTGTCGACACGAATTTGTACCTGCTCGGCGTAACGTTCCTCGTTTCCGCGCTTCATCTGCTTTTCGATGTGCTCTCTTTCAAAAACGATATCTCCTTCTGGCGTCAGAAGAAGACGATGGAGGGGCTCAGTACAAAGTAGGCTGTTATTTTTCGTGAAAACCTTTTGAATTTAGGGCCTTGCTTTGGCGAGCTTTCTCTTATACGGTCATCTTCTTTTACCTTATGGATCAGCGAACGTCTCTCCTCGTGCTCGTCCCCTCTGGAATCTCGTGTTTGATCGAGTACTGGAAGTGCACGAAGGCGTTGAAGGTAAGAAATCCCGGAATTTAAGTAAATTATTTTAGATTTCTCTAACTTTTATTGGTGGGCTACCGCGTATCAGTTTTGGTGCTCAAACTGCAAAGGAAGCCGAAACCGACGCGTTTGACGCTCAGGCTATGAAATGGCTGGCGCTTCTAATGTTGCCATTGTGCGTTGGGGGAGCGATTTATAGGTAGCTTTTTATTACGCTCGAAACATCCTTTGAAAATTACAGCCTTGCTTACGTGCCACACAAATCCTGGTACTCTTGGTGCATCGAGTCGATGGCGAATGGGGTCTACGCGTTTGGCTTCCTGTTCATGTTGCCACAACTATTCGTCAACTACAAGCTGAAGAGCGTGGCTCATCTCCCGTGGCGTGCTTTCATGTACAAGGTTTGTTTCTTTGCGGTCGCGTCAAACGTCTTACAGGCCTTCAACACCTTCATCGATGATCTTTTCGCATTTGTTATCACGATGCCAACAGCTCACCGCGTTGCCTGTTTCCGGGATGACATTGTTTTCGTTATCTATCTCTACCAGGTTTTCTTTAGTTTTCCTTCTCAAGCTCAACTTTTTTTAGCGTTGGTTGTACCCGATCGACTACAAGCGCGTCAATGAATTTGGCGACTCAGGGGACACTGAAGCTGAAGAGGTCCCAAAACTGGTAAACCTTTTATTTATAATGCATTTAAATAGTTTCATTTCCAGGAAACACTGGAAACTCCAAAAAAGATGGCCCCGGTTATCCACCCCGAAACGCCAAAGTCTAGACACGCAAAGAAGTTTGATTAATGCTTTTTAGATTGTAATAATTCACTTCGAAATCTATATTCCTGGTTACGTGTATTCTTTGTGATATAATACCGTGATGATCTTCAAATATTCCAAACAAAACTCGGCAATTTATACGCGACGTGTTCTTTCAAGGGCGTTTCACCCAGCATAGTCCCTTCGTCATTTTGCGCCCCTCGTCGCGCTCCAGTTGAACAGCAAACGCTAATAATCTTTCAAACTGGTTCATCAAAACGTTCCACGTCTTGACCCTTTTTCTAAAATATGGTTCCTTCTATGGTTGTTTTTAATGAATGATAAATTATTGTTTGAATGCGTCTCTACAGCTATTTTATGGTGCATGATTCGCTAAATTCATATTTTTGGCAGTTATCTCATGTTTGTTAAAAAAAATTATTTTGTTCAGAATGACTACTACCGAAGGTGATAAGGTGATCAAAATCAACAAATGGGACCAAGTCACCGTCAGAAATAGCTTGGATGACACCGTCAAGGAGGTACTGTCTTGAACGAAGTGGATAATAAATCTTTTAGATACTCAACAAGCGCGTCGGTTGGCAAGAATATTATTCGCTGTTCGATGGCCGCCTATTAATTTCATTCATTGCCGTCTGCTTCTCTGGATTTGCGGCAGCCTGGCATTACGTTGTACCGTTTGAGGAAGTGAAACCGGTTTGTGGCTCTCGTATCTACATGAATCCGATTTTAGGTGCTCATAATTTGTTCCGCCGGATATTTCATCACTGTTGGAATCCTGCAGCTCTATCAATGGTACGTCGAACGAGGATGCTTCTACCAGGTAATATTTCATACCTTTTTCTCTCATAATCGGTTTCAGGCAATGGAAAATGATGGGAAATTCAAGCGGGCATGGAAGTGGAGCAGCGACATGAAGAGGTTGACAGATATTCGATAGCTAAACAATTTATTTAGCTATGACGACAAATACACCCTCAGCGCTTCCTACTCACAGGACAATCGCTCCGCACAAGGTGATTTAGATATTTTCGTTTTTTATATAAACATTAAATAGGCAACGTCACCAAATCGATCTCGGCCTACATCACGGAAGACGGGGAAATCGTGAAGCCAATCTTGAAGTTGGAGATCGAGAAGCTGTACAAGGATTTGGTCCGAAACGAATAACAAAACCTACTTATTGGCATAATCGGTTTTATTGCTGTCTGTTTATCTTTGAGTCTCCTTTTCGTCGCTTTTTGTAACATTCAGCCGGGGTGGCTTTGTTGAACTGTGATTTTCCATGAATCCATATTTATTGATACTTTCTGCGTTTTCGGTTTTGAATGGGGCAGATAAATTGATGCATTTACGTGCTGGCGAAAAATTTGACAGATAGCTGTAGAAATATCGTCAAACATTGATAGAGACAAAAGGGGCGGGGTTGAGGGCTGACGCATCTGGGATTACAGGCTCCATCACAGGATCTATGAGCTCATAATACTAGTCAACTCGGAATTACGATGGCTCTTTTCTCAGGACCGCCGGTCTCGAAGGAAGCTATCTTCAGCATAGACCGTGTCAAGGTGACACTGATTTGATTTTACTTACTTTACGACCTTTAGTTATACGCTGAGACGGTTGGTCTGGCTGGTACAAGCGGCGAAGATAAGCTGACCCCTCATGTTAGTTTTGGTTTTATGCTCTTTCAAATATTTTTCAGGCATATAAATTGCTATCGGAGGAGCTAACCGAAATAATGAAGAAAATCATCATCGACGCAAAGAAATATGCAACACATGGTAAGTGTGCTATTTTCTTCTTTACTGTGTATTTTAGCGCGTCGACGGTGCGTTAGACTGGAAGATATCGAGCGAGCCTGCCGTGATCGGAATTTCCAGGTAAAGAGTGAGGTGGTTGTCAATTACGCTTTTTAGGCTCCTTTGGGCAATGCTCTATCCGATACTCGCCATCTGAAGCGTCATAACTCGTCATCGACTGGTCCCTTCTACGGGTGGGACGATGCAGAAATCGACATCACGGTGACATAGGCAATTTGGCAAAAAAAACAACAATGTTTAGAGCTACCTAAATCGTCCGCTCATCAAATTCCCGGCCCCAATGCGGATCCGGTGTCATTGGCTTGCGTATGAGGGAGTTGTGCAGCCGGTGCCAGAGAATATTGTCCCTTACAGGGTGAGTCGAATCGGAAATAATTTTTTAATTGGTTTTCTTGTTTTCAGGAAGATGCCGCCGAAACGGAGGATGAAGAAGCCGCGGCGGGAAAGCTGGTTGCTCGACGAGATACCGCCAAAAGTATACCTCAAACAGTTACCCACACCTTTTTTGGTTCAGTTATCCCGAAGTCCAGCGCCACCTTCCAATTTCGCGATGTACAGCGAGGCATCAAATGCCAAGAGGTCGTTGCTGTGCGGCCATTACCTCCGGCTATGCTGTCAGTGGTGAGTTGCAGCAATTTTATCCACCCCGATCATCGATTTCCAGGAGAAACAAGCTTACCTGAAAAGCGTGATGGAAGCCTGCGTTGGAGCGCATGACCCGCTCCGCGTATCTGCCCTTCACTCGCTTGAAACGGATACCGGACTGCAAGACGGATTGCCGATCTTGGCAAATATAATCCAGAACGGGGTATGACCTTTAAATCCGTGCTATTTTTCTTTACAGATAAAAGCCAATGTCGTTCATCGCTGCCTGTCGCTGCTGATTTACCTAGTCCGCGTCATCCGTTCGCTGGCAATGAACAAGAGCCTATCGCTGGACCCTGTGGTATGTTTTCTTGCGCTGTCAAAACGCAGTTATTCAGCTTCATCAATTCCTTCCATCGCTGCTGACTTGCTGCATCAGCAGCTCACTTTGTGGCCGCCCGGAATCGGACAACCATTGGGCATTACGAGACTTTGCCTCGAAGACGTTAGTGATAGTTGTCAAGTAAGCGATCTGTGCTGTTATAAATCTCTTTCTTTAGCTCACATCTAAAGACTATCCCTACCGTTCGGGACCGCGTGGTCCAGGTGTTGCGCAAGACTTTTATTGATAGCGAAAGCTCGGATGCGATGATCTACGGGAGCGTATTGCCTTTGTGTGATTTGACGACTGCTACGGAGGTATATTTCGAACAGTTTTTAATATCGAAAAGCTCAGAAAGCCGATCTTATCGCCCGCTTTGATGAGCTTATGGATAACTGCCGTCGGATCTGCCCACCGGAAGTCCAACCGCACGATCTCCAAACATTAGAGGCTTCTAAACTTCTTGCTGTGCTTTCGGTAGGCTGTTTTCTTGGAACTATAAGCTTTTATTTAGAAAACTATGGAACCAGCTCTACGCTCCGTACGCCAATGAATCAACCACCAACACGAAGACATCATATTACCTCAATTCCCATCCCACCTCCTGTGATTTCATACTTACGACTAACTAACGGGTTTTTGTATACATACGTCTTGCTTTTGCGATAAACTGTAACGTACCATATCTGCTTTCGAGTAATACGTCATAACGCGTACTATCAAGAATTATGCTCATATATAAAAATATATGTTCCGTATTAGGCTATGGACGGAGAGTCTAAGCCCAGCAGCCTGGCGAGCACTTCTCATGCTGCTGGCGCTCTCACCTACGACCGCGATTGGGTGGCATCTGTGGCGACGAACATTCAACCGACCGGAGATGGGGTATTTGTTGCAGTACCCCGGGGTTATTCAGATTTCAGCTTGAGCAACTCAGCCGCGAACTTGCCGCCGATTGCGTCAATAGCCGTCTAATGTAAGAGTTCGCACGCTAAGCAACCTTTCCTTCTAGTCGTCTTATCTCTATGGCGAAACGCTTTGCCATCCATGCTCGACGCTCGACGTTGATCCCCGAAGACATAGCATTGGCTCGAAGCTACTTCGGAGAGCAGGTCAGGAATTCTCGGACCTTAAAGGGATGCCGACGGCATAGTCAATCGGTTACGCGCTGGAAAGAAAATGTCTCTGCGCCTCTCCCCGGGGCGCGCTCTCTGCCCTGTTGGCTACTTGCCAATTTGTTGATGGGGGGGTTCGACACATGCCGTCGGCAGCCCTTTAAATTCTAAATTTTAGGAGTTTTTCGGGAGAAGGGAGGAGCGCCAAGCTCCAATATCCTCTGGCTTGGCGATTCCTGCAGGCGACTTGTACTCTGAGCCGTATACGCAACTTGACGTCTTCCAGTCGTGCCAATCCGGCTCCGTCAGACTGCCAGCAAAGCTGCATATTAAACGTAGGAATTTTTTGTAGTTAGAAACTTTTTTAGCACATTGGTTGGTGATAGATGGCGTTCAACCGTGTATCCAAGACAACCCGTTGCTCGGCGAAAATGAGGAAGCCGCCTCGGTAATCTAGAAAGATTTTTTAAGACCATGGTTTTAGGATGATTTGGCTGATGCAAACCCGGAAAAGCTCGTTTTCCCACGACCGTTGGAGACATTCTATGCATCCGGATCTCTGGTTTATTGCCCGCCACCGCCGCCTGACTTTTTGGAGAACAATCGAAAAGCCGCCTTGGCAAAAACGAGTGAGCAGTTGGTGTCTGATTAGCTTTTTTGTTTTCTAAGTAAAAGTTTCTACCTTCTTTAATTTCAGCCACGATGACCCATCTCAATCAGCTCTTCTGGAATTCGCCTGGCAAGAAGGGAGCCTCTTTTCTGACCTCTCCACAAAAAGAAGACCGCGCCAATGATGCCAACAAGATGACGAACGCACAACTCAGCACACAATCGCACTTGGTACAGTTTTCGGAATTTGTCGCGTTGACCGCATCCATTTAGTTTGATCGAGCTTTCTACGAGTTGCTGGTTCGGAACGTGATGGGCGATGATGACGCTACGAGAGAGGTAAAGCTTCGTTCCTGCACGAAATCTTCTTCCAGCATTCTTTGCAACTCCTGGCCGAGAGCACGGGTCTTCGATTGATCGTCCCACGAATTACCGTCTATGTGTTTGAAGCGGTGAGTTTGAAGGATTTTACTGGAAGCCTCCTCTTCAGGTCCGATTCCACGTTACAAACGGCGATGTTGATCAGCTGATGTACCTGATGAAGTTGTGCCTGGCGCTCGCCACAAACCCGCATGTCGACCTGACGAAATCGGTAGACTTTCAAGGAGTTTTTGAAACATTTTTAGTTGGTCGAACTGATGCCGCCCATCCTCAGCTGTATTTTGGCGAAAAAGCTATCCGACGATCCTACCAGCGATGAGCACTGGGCCCTGCGACGGTTTAGCGCGCAGATTGTCGCCATATTATTCAAGTAGTCTACATGTAGTATTTTCATTGAGTATTTTTGTTTAGACATTACGATGTGGCCGATTTTCACTCAAGAACGATCAAGGCTTTGGCCGAGCCATGGGAAGAAAATGCGAATGCGGCATTGCCCACTCTATATGGCTCGTTGTATACGTTGACGAGGCTGGGAATTCGGGTGTGTTTTACCTTATTTTAGCCGTTACCGGTATTTTACCTGGAAGCACCGTTTTATTTATTGGCATTGCCGTTTAGGTCATGTACGAACTATGCTCACCTCATCTCGCTTCTGTCTACGACCGTCTGAAGCCTCTGCTCGAGTCACCGAGCTATCGGCCCGAAACTGACGAGGCTCAAGTCTTGCTGAAGATGATCTATGTGAGTACCAATAGCCCGTATTCAGGTAAACTATTTTTCAGACAGTATTTGCCGAATGGGTAATCGAGACTCGGCCGCCCAAGCTATGTTCACTAGACGATTTTGAGCAGCATTTCGGCGAGCAGCTTGGCTACGAGATTCACCGGCATTCGTTGGATCAGGCGGTTTTGTTGGGTGTTCAGGTATGCGCCGTCATTTTTAAAAGAATGCTTCTTTTCGATTCTTTCAATATTTTTCGATTCGCGGTGTCATCGATTTTTTTAGACCCGGAACCTAAACATGCAACGCGCCGCGACAAGCCGCGCCAACCGTGCCGCATAGGCAGGATGAACCCTCAGTTTTTTTTTGGAAACGGTTCTATATTTTTGATCGTCATACGTGTGCCGTACCATGTCTGTACATTATATTTGCTCGCACTTAATATTGTTATAAAATGAGCTTTTTGGAAACGTTTGGAAAACACAGGTTTGACGCAAAACAGCCAAAAGCCACCTTGCCCTACCCCCGTATCCGGAACCGCCCGGGAATATTGGCGGATCTCTGGAATTCGGAGACTGCGTGATAGCGGCTGGGATGCAGATGATAGGGCGCCCTGCTCGACCCCCCCCCCTTGCCGGAACGGCGATAAGCCGGCTGCAGCAAGGTGCCTGACCCTCGGCGCCTGTATTCAACTCATAATCCGATCGATGAAGCCTTTATCGCAGAATGTTTTTTTTCTGGTTGGCTGGCTACGCGCGTGGCTTGATGTTTTGCGCGTTTTGTCTAGGCATGAAGCGAACTTCCGACTTTTTCATGGAGAATTCTAAATTTTTGAAAAAGTGAGTTAATTTGGGGGAGGCCGAGCTTTTAAAGCCCTTTAAACCAATAAAGAAAATGTATAGGGTAATCGGAGTATAAAAACGACATCCTAAAGTTCATTTCTACATAGATTGGTATACTATTTAGGAGGTGAAGCAAATTTTGGATTTTTTAGGTTTCGTTGAATGGAAAAAAGGCTGGGTGTATTAAAGGGTTGGTATCTAGATAATTCGAAATATAGCCCTTTTCTTCAATTACCTAACCTAGCTTTCAATAGAATACTGCCTAGAACTAGATTTCCAAGATGAAGCTCAAGTCAGCTGGTTGAGGGACATCATCGTCCAAAGGTCATGGTCAATATTTGCTTGTAAAACGGGTAGCGCGTCACCTGTTGGCGCCCGATTTACAGCCCACTCCCCCCATTGCCTAGATATGGGGCGTCCCTGGAATCCGCGGGCTTTTGGCACACACCGAATCGGCCGGGGATTATTGGAACGCGCCGGTAATCTGGCATGTGTTATGCTAACGATTTTAACGGTTCTTTCATATATCGTATTTTCTGAGGATACTGATGGGCTACCAATTATTTGCATACCTAGAAAGTTCATTTACCTTTTTATAGCTTTTTTTAAGTTTTTTTTCTTTCGGCAAATTTTCCAGGGGATCAAATTTTGTAAAATTCTAGTCTTCTTATTTTATTTTTCTGATCTGGATTCTTTGACTTTTCCCCCAATGACTCCCTTTGACTCTTATTTTTCTTTTCTCTGCATTGAATTCCCGAGCTTCTCACCCCCCATAGCACACATAAAATTCCTGAAATTCCACATTTTTGGTCTAACCAATAAAGGGCGTGAGTCAGTGAAGCCGTGGTGGGTGTCGGCAACTTGGTTATGAAACAGACACCCACTTGGCCGGGAGAATTCCGGGCCGTTTTATTGGCCCAGCGATTAGGTGTGCTGGGCCCCCCGTGATTTTTGGTGATTTCTCGCGCTCACGCAACCACAGCTCATCGCTCTTTTGGCCGGTAAATCGACTGTTTCAGGAGATGGACCACCGGCATCTGCAGATTAACAATTGGCACCGAAGTCTCCACCAACATCGTGGGGATAAGCATGATGGATCTGAGGTTGGGTTTGAATCTTGTCATTTGAAAGGGACCGTCACAGACGAAAAATTGAGAATCAGTAACTTGAAAAGGTTGGAAGCGCAATGCTTGCTAGCGTTTTTCGGAGCGGAGTAAAAAACATAGATTTTCCGACCGAAATTTTGGATTTAAAATTTTTTAAGTTTTGAGATAGTTTTTCACTTTAAATACAGATAAATTTTACTAAACAAAAAATCGCAATACTGACGATACGTTACTTGGCAGTTGTGGACCTACAGGAAAAAAAATTAAAAATAAGATAGAAAAAGGAAAAAAATTACCCCCAATAATGCGAAAACGCCAAGGATTGGGACAAACTGGTATTAGGGGGTATAAAATTTAAACGGAAACAAGTGAAATCCCTTTTCAAATAAAAACCCTACAAAATCGGCAATAAAGCGTAATATTAAACGCGTAGCTTCTTCCATAATTCTTTTACGGATATTTTTATAGGAAACCTCGATCGATAGCGCAATCGGCACGTCCACGCAAACGGAGCTGACCTTCGATGGCGGGTATGTGATATTTTAAGGGTTCCTTCAAGCGTTGGGTAAACCGAGCGTATTGCGGACAATTCTGGGCTTGAAAACAATCGTAAGCGTTGAGTTTTAATCTCGAAGAAATTAGGAAAAGGGGACCAGGATTTGTATACTAATAAAGAAATACATTAAATCAATCAGCAGTGCAGAGTAATTATTAAGTTAAAGGTATCAAAGTATGCTCTATAGGTAAAATAAGTAAGACCCCTCCGGGGGTAAACCGGGGGAAAAGGAAAGGGAAGCCTGGCCGGGAATTTTCCCCCCCCGACGGGGGGGGTGGTGGGTCGGTGGCGGGCGTACGGACATTAGAAATTTATATATAGCAGATAGCAGATACGTTAAGTATATGCATTTCTACAGCCGTGCTACATTTTCTAAAGGTCCTCTTTTGGGACCTGCTATAAATATCGCGGGGGGTGCGGCTGATCGGCTTCATCCCCCCGGGGCGGGTGGTCAGTAAGCTGTCGATTGGAATGTGCGGAATGCCCGGACTCGGGGGTCTGTGTGATGGGGCTACATTTAGCATTTTGGGCAGCTGTGCAGGCGGGCTGGTCGCGCTTTTTGGAACGCCAGGAATGTTTGGTGAGGCGGGGAGGCAACTGTTCGTTTTTCCCCCCAGGGGCTCCGTGTTTTTGCTGGGCGAAACTTTTTCTGGGGTTGCCCTCCTCCAGGTCGGCCGCCCCGTTCATGCCGAACGCCCAGGGGCAGTTGCCGAGTTTTGGCGGGTTTGCCAGTTTCCGGAAACGAGCTGCTTGGATTCATTTTGTATTATTGCTTTTTCTGATTTTTACATTTGTTACTTTTTACTATTGCTTTGAATTATTACTATTTCTGTCTTGCGTATATCCGAAATATACCTAGATTAAATTTATAGTATTTTTAAGGCAACTTAGCTCGAAAAAAATAGTATAATCGTATTCAGTTTTCCCGAAACCAGGTTTTAAAAGTAGCAATTTAAAAAACCGAAAAGCATTTCCGTTGATGATGTTTTATATAGAAAGTAGCGTGCAAAAAATAGTATAATGCATGGCATAGAGAAGCTTATTCTGATTTTTCACTCAAATACCCCTTTAACGACCTTTTAAACTTAGGTTGTTAAATTAAAATGCCTTTTACTTTCTGACAATAAGCTAGAAGTAAACCCATATTTAACGCCCTTTCGCGCCCCTTCACGCCCTCCTGTAAATAACGCCCCTATTCGCGCCCACTGAAGCTCTCCGTAAATAACCCCGCAAAACGAGCTTTTTCCTGAAATAACCCCTTTTCTGGTCATTTGGAGGGCGTTAAATACAGAAGGTAAATAAGTTATTTGTACAGGAGGGGAAAGGGCGAGGGTATCGGTTGCCGAGTAAGTTAAGGCCATTTTACTAATGATCTGCCGCCTAAACTTCCGCTTGATTCCCATCGACACCTCTCGCATCACGTGTCCTCCCGCACAAGCGCCAGCTTGGCTGCTGTTGCTGCTCTCGACGCCGTCTTTTTCCAGAATATCACTTGCCCTGCCCTGTGCGCGCATACCGTGCATAGCCCGCTGATATTTCCGGCGCCCATAAATCGTCGTCGGGGAGAAAGGGGGGCAAGTGCGTTGCGTTGCGTGTGTGAATGCCCGAGACGGGAATGCTGCTCAACTGTCTCACCATCTTTGACTACAGGTGAGAGAGGAGGACTACAGGCTACAGTGGAGATCCCTGGGTTCTTCGGTTCTTGAAACTGGTTTTTTCAAAGGTACGTCGGAATCGTACACGGGATGCAATTCCCCGACCGGCTGACAGCAACGCGCCTGCTACGCGTTAAGCCGTTTGGGCTAGTGGCATTTTTAATTTTACTCACTTAAATACCTATTTTTAAAGGCACCGGCCAGGCGTTTGAAATGAAATTAGACGAATTTTTCGACACTTAGTTTGAAATTGTTTTTGGAAGAGATTTTGGTCTTTTTCGGTACGTACTTTCCCATTATCGGGGCGGGGGGGGGGCTTTTTTCTTACTATCCAATCAACTAATTTTGTTTTCCAATCATAGTGGAACTTTCTCTAAAATTGTTTTGACTATTCCAAAACGTAAAAACTTTACAATTTTTTATTATGAAATACGATAAAATTGCGATTTTTCGACCACACATGGCCGGTTTTTGGCCAAAGTTTAGCCTACTTATATTTTACTATGAGACTTCCTATTACGTTATTATAAATTTCTATGTAGACTCGTGCAAAGCCCCCCCCCCGATAATGCAAAAGAACCTTTTGGTCTAGCGTTGAATGCGGTCTTGGTCGAATTTTTTCGATTTTTTCGAAATATTACTTCGGAAATGACTTTCCGGAAATATGATTTTCTGCAATTTTTATGGCCATCTACCTTATTTTCTGCTAAGAATCCAGTCCTGAATATTTTGCCTTGCTTGCCCCTTTAAAATGTCCGGAAAATTCGGGCTCCGCTCCCCCGGACGATAATCAGTGGACGGTGTGTGGATATGGGCATCGGAAAGGGGGTGAGAGATGTGGGGGGTGGCTGCTGCTGGGGCGAGGCGCACATTCCACGCGCGTTTCCGCCACATTCCTCGGTACGCGCACGCATACACACCGTGGGGAACAGGGTGGTGGTGGTGGTGCTTTTCCTTCCTTTCCTAGCCTCTTCCTCCTCCTCCTCTTCCTCTTCTTCCCCTTCCATATCAGCCATTCCCCCATTCTCCACCCACCGTCATCCCCCAACCCATCACTAGAAACGCGCACACACCCAACTCGGCGGCTACGTGCCGTCGAGTCGTAGAAGTGTCACGTGACGCGTTTTAATTTGTCAGTTAATTAGTTTGCTTTATTCGGTTCTTTTGCATTATCGTGGGT